CTTCATTAGATAGAATGGTGCAACGACATATTTTAAAGAAATTTAATATATTTTTGTTTATTACTCTAATCATAAGGGATAAATTTTTACAAAATTTATAATTCTAAATCTTGAACATATTCAATTCCATGTTTTAAACAAAAATCAGCCTTGAAAATTTCTCTTCCCAAATACATCAAATGAAACTTATCATCAGTTAATAAATTTTCTACAAGTTTAGTAGAAAGTTCATTATAATCACAACCTGTCACTTCTCTCATTAATTTTCCTTTAATATCATAATGTTGAATAACAATTAAGTCTTTATTTAAACTAATAGTATAATATCCATTGGGATCATCATAACAAGGAGTAAATTTATAATGATCTTTAATTATTAGTTCAACATCTTTAAAATTTTCATTATAAATATGTGCACTGTGTGAAATAATGATTAATGAACCCATTTCTACCATTTCTTCTTTTGTATCAATTTTACAACCGAATTTACAATTATCATTATTCTCTCTTAAAATTTCTTCATTAATTCTCCTATTTAATTCAACACAAACATTCTTTTGAATCATTCTTAATCCAAATGCATTTAAAGGCCATGCTCTATACATATCATTACTTCTTATGTAGCATGTCATGAAAAGTTGATTACCTTGAATATTGGGTTGTGCTGATATAACACAAGGAGGATTTTGTTTATATAAATCTCCTATCTCCCATGTCGTAGTGAAACATCTTTTTGAATAAATATTTTCTACTAACATTTCAATAACTCTGTCAAATTGTTTATTTCCAAAAAATTTTGTTCCATAAGTATAAGATACATCATCACTTTTAATATTCTTAGTAAATGTCTCATAATACCTTTCTAAATTATCTTTATCAAACCTCATAAAATCTTTTATTATCGGATTTAAAGGATTTTCTTTATTGATTACTGTTACTATATTAATACATTCTTTAACTTTTGAAAACTCACTTTGTGTTGTTTGTGTTAATTTACCAAATGTATTTATATGTTTTAAAATCTTCAACCATCCTTCAAATATATAATCTGCCTCAATTCTATAGACAACGCCTGATGGTAAACATGATGAAACTATCTTCTTTTTAGGGAATATTTTTGCCTCATCATAAGGTTCTAATTTACTTAAAGTTTTAATACAATCATAAATAACAGTTTTATACTGATCAAAATCATCTATTTTAGTTATTTTATCAGTTAGATCAATAACTTGTACATTTCTTATCAATTTATTAAGTTCATCCAATGGAATTTCTTCCGGTAGAGGAACTTCAGTATCAGTTACAATGTGATTTTTTAATTCACTTTTAAAAAAATTAATTAATGTTTTTTTACTTTTTGCCCTGTCATTCCCCACAACAAGAATGTATCTTATGTTTGTATTAGCAAGACAATTTCTTATTAAAGGTTCTATACCGTTAAAAGCATCATAAAAATTAGCCACTAAACAAAAGTCATTACTGTCTAATATATCAGCTACTTTCTCTCTAACCGTCCATAATGTTGTTACAGCCACATTAGATTTTAAATTACCAATTATTATTTTATCAGAGTACATTGTTGGCCACTCATTGCTCCTGTATTTCATGCACATAAAAATTTTTAAATTTTTAAATTAAAATTTATTTAGTTAGAAAAAACAAACGGATACTTTTTAAAATATAAAAGATATATACCCTTTAAAGATTTAGCATTAAAAATATCATGAGCTTTAAAAAATATTTCAAAACTAGGCATAATTTTATTACAATGCTCTAAAACAGATTTACAAACACCTTTTTCAGTTTTAATATCTTTTTGGTACTCTTGAAATTTTGATTCATTTTGTTTAAAAATAGATATCAAATTTTTGATCAAGTCTGAAATTTTCCCCACAGGGGGAAAATTTCAGACTTAAAAAATTCATAGAAAATAGATAAAAAAACCATG